TCCTTTTTGGGTTTGGGGAGGCCTTCGCATCAGCGCAGCTCCACCGCTGTCCATTTTGGTGCCTGGTGTGTCACGCTGAAATGGCTTTGTGCCTGTGAGGCGATTCGGGCACGGCTGGCTGCAACAGCTTAAGCAAGCAGACCCCAATGTAAATTCGTCGAGAACAATCATCCCCAGGCGCTCTTAGGGAGACCAACAGGAGGTGGTTTAGATAAGTTCAGTTTTAACTTGGACTGTTTGTTCTTTTGTCGGAGACGTCAACATCCGAATGCGTTGTTTCTTGTGAGTCATTGATACTTCAACCCAATCTTGCGGCCCAGGGCGTGCTATTTCTCCGGACTCAGCCGGGTGTTTCTTAACCACAAAAGGAAGCCAGCCGACCACCTGAAAGAATTGGATATAGGTTTCTGCTTTGTCTGAGGGTACCTTTCTTAGGCTGGTTTCAAGGAAATCCAACCTAAGAATACAACCACTGTTTTTGAAAACCAAATGAAGATCACCACTTTTCTCGGTTGAAACTCCATATAGGTTTGTTTGTTTGTTTGTGTTGTTTGTTGTTTGCTGCTTGTTCTCTAAGGGTACCCTTCTTAAGTCGGTTTCAAGGGAAAGCAATGGGACATACGAAGCCAATTTTATGTAAGACCAAACAGCCGAAAAAGAACCACCGGGAAAACTCGGCCGCTGGCTGCACCCCTCTAATTACAAAAGTATTTCACCGTTTTTGGGGGGTCCCAGGGAGGGAAACAATTTCGACCAAAGCTTCAAGCAACTCGCTGCAGAAAAGTCCCAAGACCCGTTGCCAAAATCGCCCCACGAAATTCGCCCCACGTTCGAAGCGCTCCACTCAGGGCGACAGGACTTTGAAGCTGGTGGCCCCGGCGCACCCTGAATTTTAAGCCATCGAGACATATATATATATATATATATACATATATACATATATACATATTTACTTATTTATATAAACATATACATACATATACATGTTACATATCTATCTATCTGTAGTCGTAATTTACAAAACAAACATATGTGTATATATACTATATAAACACAAGAGTCACGTATGTGTTCCTTTGAGGCTCGCGGCTGATGTCCTCCAGCTCCTCGTTGGGGGAGAAGAGCCGCAGCTGCATCACCCGCGAGGCGATCCGCTTCAGGCGCCCCGTCCTGAGGCGTTTTTTTTTGACGTGGGGTGCCTCCATAGAGTTGCCCGTGCTTGAAACCTGAGGCGCTTTTTGCTTGCCTCCGAATCCAAAGGTGCAGGACATCTGATGCATGGAACCCTGACCCATTCCAAGGTGGACACACGAAGGTTGACGCACAGGGCTGTGGACAAGCCAACCTTCTTGGACCAGTTCAGCCGAGCACGGGATCGGTCAATGAAGAGGTTGGGTGTTCCAAAGCAGCTGTAAGTCAAATTGAAGCAGGCCACTCCATCTATCCCCTTCGCCCCTGCTCCAGCTGCCTCGAGTGTTCACACCAAGAACCCCGATATTCGCCCTGGGCTGTGGTCTGATTCTTGAAATGGCACCCTGCTAGCCCCAAAAAGGGCCACGTTGAATTCTTGGATGGTCGTGGATCCTGTGCACCTTTCTTTTTCAAAGCACAGTCTTCCGATTTTTGATTTGACGTGGTTTCCCCTTTTGGTTGAATCCGATGACTATTTGTTTGGACCATTTGGACCACAGTTAACCAGGGAGCCTCACTCCCTCACTCCCTCACTCCCCAACTCCCTCACTCCCTCACTTCCTCACTCCCCAACTCCCTCACTCCCTCACTTCCTCACTCTGCCTTATTGTAAAGGCTTCGCGTTGCCCGCGGCCAGTCCGCTTCTGGCTGGCTTTGAGGTATATAAAGTGCTTGAGTTTGCCTTTCAGAGTGAGTGAGTCGGCGCCGGCAAGGTGGGCTGCAGAATGGCAGGCTTGGGCCAAGCGAAGGTGCAAAAATTTCTAGGGAATATGACTGCTTGCGGGGGGGGGATTTGCCGGTTTCTCTGGGGATCTGACCAGAGTTGGAGCGGTGATTTTTTTGGGGACTTGATTGGTCTGCATGGGAAGTTGACCGGTTTCTGGGGGTAATTTTCTACGGTTGTTCGAGGGGATTGATCACTTTGTGTCCAAAACTAGTAATTATGATGCTATTTGGTTCTACCTGGTTGGACCATGTGTTTGACATTTGTACTATTCTCAGATTGGTATTCCAAGCACTCAAACTCATAGTTTCACGCCATATAGGGCAGGGGCTAGGGGAAGCCATGTGTGGTAGTCTACCCTGTCTTTGGGCAGGGAATCAAACCGGTTTTTTTTGAATCCTACGCAGGTGATGAGGAAAGGGGTTGTATATAACTTTTCCGGGAGCAGTCTTTCCCGAAGCGCTTTGAATGATTCTTGCACAAGCTTCCTCATATCTCCCAAATAACCATGGGTCAAAATCCCGCACCCTCAGTCAACATCCCAATCCCAACTAAAATAGACTAAAATGGCTGGTGCACCTACCCCAAAATGGGATCCCATTAGTTTTGACCCACAGCCAAATGGCCCGGATGTCCTGTGGGGCGTGCACAAAAGTGTTTCCCCCGACTGTTGGCAGCTCCTTGAAGCTCCTTGAAGAGCATCTTCTGACAGCCGGAGTGATGTTACATCAATCTCCAAATGGCTGTGGGTAGGAACCCAGAATGGCACCCTGGTAAGTGGAAATAATGACTAAAACCTGTGGTCCCCTGGTGTTTCATTTTGACCCCCAAATGATTCCTCAACCAGGACTCGCCTATGCTGGAGACAGGTTAGCCATGGCTCAAAACCCAAAATTCCGTACCCCCAGTGAACATCCGATTCAATCCAACCACTAAAATAGGTTATGAAATGGGTGGTGAATTCACCTACCAATTGCAATCCCCATTAAAATAGACTAAACTGGGTGGTGCACCTACCCCTCTTTTGCCAAGACTCAGCTCATCGAGCGCGGATTGCTCGGGAGGCTCATCCTCAAACCTGACCAGCGACACAAAGGAGCGGTAGGCGTCGTAGAACTGGCGCGCCAACGTCTGCCTCAGCCGAACCGGAGCTTCTACCCGGATTTGGGCGCCGGTGAGAATCTGTCACTGCTTTTTGCTTTTTGTGAGCTTGCTTCGGCCATTTTGTGAAACAGACTTTTTGGTGGACGTCAGAAACACTATCTCGGATTTATGAGACCCACTTTCAATGGTGACAACTTACCAACATCAACCAACATCACCAACATGAATGAAGCAGTTGGCTTCAACCCCCCGAACCCTCGAAACAGACACATTCGGTGGCTGAGTTCCAGTCCAACCACCCCCACCCCCACCCCCACTCCCGGCCAAACCTTCCAGTTTGAAAACATGAGGGGCTTCCTCCCGCAGCTTGAGCCGTTTCTTTTCCGGGGTGTGCACCCACCGCACTTTTGCAAGGGCTACCAAACGAATCCCCAAAACTCTTTGGATGCTTCCCCATTTGGTTTAGAGTCCCAGAGAATAAACGCATCGCGCGCTGAAATCGGAAAGTCCGAGGCACTCGTCAGAATCATCGGCCTGCGAACGGCTTCGATCAGAGGAGGACGCAAGGCGACGAAGACCAACCGTGCGAAAACCTTCACGTCTCTGCACAGGCCTTTTTTGTGCGAAGGGCCAGCTCCCTTTGAACATTAGGTAAGTTGAAGTAAAGAAAAGCGCGCCCTTTGGACCTCAGAAAAATATACGCTGTGTCTTCTGGGGGAACCTCCATGGTTGGGTTCCCAGCCAGAACCACCAAGGGCCAGCCGGCTCCCTTTCTTGGATTCCCAACCACCCGCAAAGGGCTGTCCCAAGAAAAGACGCGCAAGCAGGAAGGCAAAACGACACCGAACGTTTTAGAGGACCCCTGTTTTGACAAACACCCAAACTAAAGGAGATTGCTGGCTTGCGACAAAGGGTTCCACATGTTCGATTGCCACTTCGGGGTTTCGCCCCAAACACGCGCCTCGCCCCTTGCAGCGCTTGCTGCTACATCGCAGGCGGAGCGGGTGTCTTTGGCCTGGCCGGGTTGAATCAAAAAAGCCGACGAGGCCCCGGAATTCCTGGCAAATGCTAGGAAAGGCTACGAGAAGCTGGGACACGCCCAAGCAAAAACGAACAAACAAAACACCAAAAAGGATTTCATGCATCCCCACCACTGTTCTCATTGCAAGAACCAGAAAAACACAACCAACTACAAAAACAACAAACATCACGTAGAATGATGCGGCTTTCCACATATTTCTGAAATTTCTGGCCATGCCCTCAATGGAATTTGTGTAGGATTTATGTAGCGCAACGTTCTCTTTCACACATCTCTCCCTGAAGACTCTGGCTCTCAATCTGATTCGTGCATTTACGTAGCCTACAGCTGTGAAAAAAAAAAAAAAAAAAAAAAAAAAAAAAAACAAGGGATACCTAGGGCCCACAAGGTCCAGGAGCATGGGCAAATGCCTGCTCTATCGGTTGTGAGTTGATGTCGGAAAACGTGTTCCGTTGTTACCTATGTCGATCGAAAATGAAGAAGCATCTTGAAGATTTAAGTCCATTGACTTGGAAAAGAAGACGGCGAAGATCTGGCGAACCGAGAATCGCTCACCAAACCCACAAAAGCTGCAGATCTTCGTCCGTACACCCCACGCCCCGCCTCCGCTGGCGCGTCCTCCTCCTCCATGGCACGGAGTGCGGAGTTCGGGTCGGCGCAATCTGAAGGACCTCGCGATATCAGAAGAGGTGTATGGCATACCTGCGCCAAAACACAGAGGTGCATACATGTGTTATGTATATATATATATATGTATGTATATGTATACAAACCACACATGTATTTCAGATGCATGAATATCATTGTAGAATATGGAGAGAGAGAGAGAGAGACAAATATGTGATTCTGAAGTATGGGTATCATTCTTACATGAAATGCTGGTACTTTTTTCGTGGGGGCCATGTCCACTGCAGCATGCTCTGATTCCATGGTCCTTCACTCGCATGCGAACGCTTCGCATTGTTGGAGCTCGAAAGCCGAAAGGACACGGAACCATCGCTGAGTCCCCGGCTCTTGCGGGGAAATTCCGTGAGTCCCCCATGTCCCGCCCAAATTTGGAGGATAGACTACTAGCCCAACAACCCTACACAACAACCTAACAGCCCAACAGCCAGGAGCCCAACAACAGCCGAACAGCCCAACAGCAGCCCAACCACCCAACCACCTCGCAACACCCAAACAGCCTAGACTGACTAGACTGTGTGCGCGCGAATGTCAAAAATTTGGGAGGCCTTCTCTTGCGAGTGGTTGCAAACGGATATGAAACAGAAATCGGCCAATACCTTCTCAATCGTTTCAACACGATAGGGGGAAAGAATTCTCAGTGGCCGCCGCCTTGCATTTGTCCTCCCTCATTCAACATGAAGCAGCTGTTGATTTCAACCAACTCTTCGTTGCTTCCCTTTGAAGTTCGCTGGATTCGCCTATGAGGAACTCGCAAGTGGGCTTAACAGGACAAAGGCCCCTGCTGAACCGAAGCGCCCAAAGCGCCACAAAGCTATACAAGGCATCACAAAGTTATACAAGGCAGCACTTGTTTCAACTTGCATGAGTGCATTTCTGTGCCCAAATCTTCCAACTCGCAGCCAGGGCTCGCAGTCAGGAAAGTGCATTTCTGTCCCCAAATCTTCCAACTCGCAGTCAGCAAAGTGGATTTCTGTCCCCAAATCTTCCAACTCGCAGTCAGGAAAGTGGATTTCTGTCCCCAAATCTTCCAACTCGCACAGGAAAGTTGATTTCTGTCCCCAAATCTTCCAACTCGCAGTCAGGAAAGTGCATTTCTGTCCCCAAATCTTCCAACTCGCAGTCAGGGCTCGAAGTCAGGAAAGTGCATTTCTGTCCCCAAATCTGTCCCCATATCTTCCAACTCGCAGTCAGGAAAGTGGATTTCTGTCCCCAAATCTTCCAACTCGCTTCCAACTCGCAGTCAGGAAAGTGGATGTCTGTCCCCAAATCTTCCAACTCGCAGTCAGGAAGTGGATTTCTGTCCCCAAATCTTCCAACTCGCAGTCAGGGCTCGCAGTCAGGAAAGTGCATTTCTGTCCCCAAATCTGTCCCCATATCTTCCAACTCGCAGTCAGGAAAGTGGATTTCTGTCCCCAAACCTTCCAACTCGAAGTCAGGAAAGTGCATTTCTGTCCCCAAATCTGTCCCCATATCTTCCAACTCGCAGTCAGGAAAGTACATTTCTGTCCCCAAATCTTCCAACTCGCTTCCAACTCGCAGTCAGAAAAGTGGATTTCTGTCCCCAAATCTTCCAACTCGCAGTCAGGAAAGTGCATTTCTGTCCCCAAATCTTCATTTCTGTCCCCAAATCTTCCAACTCGCAGTCGGGAAAGTGCAAGACTCCAAGACTACCATCAACAGACCTGTCCACTTCCATGATTGTAGGAAGGAGAACTACCCTCCCAACCAACATGGAACCTGACGTTCGGGGGGGGTCCTGGTTTGGACTGTTCCCTTTGAAAGGGACCTCAGGTTCCACGTGAAAAGGGGAACTTCACATGTCCGATCCCAGCCGCGTTTCTCGCGTCGCAGTCACCGTTTCCGAGACCCTCGCCAGCCCTAGCCGCACCTCGGCCACTCGGCGGTGGAAAATCCGACGCCAGGCCCCCCGAGTCAAGACAGCGGGTTTGGAGCCGGGTCTCTGCATCCAGCCCACCGGATCTCCGTTTGAAGCCACACCGACTGCACCAGTACCAAAGGACCACACCAGTGCCAAGAAAGGACCAGGCTCGAATCCAGCTTTAGTTGAAGCGCAGCCGAACCTTTCTCCAACGGTCTTACCTACTTTTGCCCAACCGGTTTCCCTCCCAGGCCCCGGCCATCAGCGAAAGGTTCAGCTCTCCCCGGGCCACCTTCTTGGGCAAGCCAGAAGCAGAACCAAAAGAAAAAAAACATGAATCACCCTCCTTGCCGGAGGGCCAGGGCCACCCATTGGTCCCTTCAAAAGACTGACTCTTTTTGGCGCTGGCAAACACTCCGCCCGAACAGCCGGTCGCCATGAAGCTCCGAGACCAGGGCCGCCCTCATCAGCCCACGGCCTGCCGACTGCCGGGGTCCGTCCCGAGCGACCGCGTCTGACGGCTCTGCCGAGCCGTAATACTCCCCAGATCGACATGGAGCCCAAAGCGCACATGTTGTGAAGCTCCTATTTGCTGAAGCTCTTTTCGGTCCATCCGTGGCTCCGGTGTTTACAACAGCCTTTTTAGGGGAGATCGGAGAAAACGCGGCCATTTCTCATAGCTGACTCAAAAGGAAGAAGAGCTGTTGACAAAACCGCACCGTGAGTCTTACTTTTGGACCCCAGGGCCTTCATGAACAAATTTGTCGCGCCCCTGCGGCTCCCCAAGCCCATGATATGTGGCCCCGCCGGTCAAACTGTCAGACAGCCCGCCTTCATCAAACAAGCCGCGCGCAGCCCCTTGAAGGGAGGGACAACTGAAAGGGTTTGGGGGCTCTTGGTCACTTGCAGCCTTCAACTTCCGCAGTCGTTGCTTGTAGCATCTCGTAGTTCCGGCCGTTTTTTCTTCTGCTGCAGGTTGTCTTTGCAAATGCCGCGCCCTTGAAAAAACGACCCCGGCAGTGGGAACATGTCCCAGAAGTCAACAAGTTCGACAACCCACCGCGCATAGTGAGTCGACATGTTGCACATATTTGGACTCGATTTAGGGGCCATTTTGCTCACATCAGAAAGCACGTAATTGGGGGCCACCGTGAGCCTGTGAACAGAAAGCATACGAAAGGATACAGAAGGGGGTCAACATTACTGGTTTTCTGACCTCTTTTTTTTTGCACTAAGCCAGCTAGAAAGAAGAACAAACCAAAGGGTATCAATATATGGGATTTGTCACCTACGCGTGCTAACTGGCGCTTTCTTGATTAATTTGTTTTTGCGATGTTGTTGCGTTTTTGTTGCGATTCGCATGTTCAATACGATTCCTGAATCAGTTACCTTTTTCGGACAACTTGTTATGCGTTAAGTCCCCCCACCTTACGAAAATCACCAAAACACGATTCTAACACGAATTTAACACGAGTTTAATGCCATGTTGCTCTTTAAATGCGACTTCGACTTTAAGATGACGTCCACTGTTTTGTTTGGTTTACATTTTTTACGTCAAACACACTAAAACAAATTTAAAACCGGGAAAAATACACAAAAAATGCATTTCTGAAACGTGATCCTGGAGAATGTGATTTGGGATTCGCAAATCCCGAATCCCGAATTCCGAATACGAATCCCGAGGCCCAAAGTTCGATTTGGGATTGGCGAATCCCGAATCCCCAATCCCGAATCCAGGGCCCGGAGCCCCGGACCCCCAATCCCAAATCCCGAAACTGGATTTGGGATTCGCGAGCCCCGAACCCCGAATCCCGAATCCAGGACCCGGAACCCGGACCCCAAACCCCGAATCCCGAACCCCGAAACCGAAAGTTCGCAAGCCCCGCATCCCGAATCCCAAAACCCAAGTTCGATTTGGGATTGGCGAATCCCGAATCCCCAATCCCGAATCCAGGGCCCGGAGCCCCGGACCCCCAATCCCAAATCCCGAAACTGGATTTGGGATTCGCGAGCCCCGAACCCCGAATCCCGAATCCAGGACCCGGAACCCGGACCCCAAACCCCGAATCCCGAACCCCGAAACCGAAAGTTCGCAAGCCCCGCATCCCGAATCCCAAAACCCAAGTTGGATTTGGGATTGGCGAATCCCGAATTCAAGCCCCGAAACCCAAAATCGCGAATTCCAAATCCATTTTGGAACAAGCATCCAACTACAAGGGGAGGCCCCAGAAAGCGAAGCCAGTTTTGAGACCTCCAGCTCAACCAAACAAGCCTGGCCACCCTGGGCCAAGGCAGCGCCCAAGCCCAACGCAGTGCCCAATGCTGTGCCCAAGCACAAGGAGGAGCAGCCCAAGCCCAAGGCAGTGCCCAAGCACAAGGAGCCCAAGCCCATGGCAGCAGCCCAACGCACTACCCAAGCACAAGGAGCAGCCCGAGCCCAAGGCAGCACCCAAGCCCAAGGCAGCGCCTAAGCGCAAGGAGCAGCCCGAAGCTCGCCCGTCCTGCAACCACCGCAAAACCACCGGCTCACCGCTTTAAACGCGCCTTCAACTTCCACGAAGTTAGCAACTCCATCTCTACGCAAGGCAAGTTTCGCAGACACGACTCCGCTCTGCGGAAACATTGCAGTTTTTGCAAGAAGCAAAAACAAGATCATCGCTGCGGCTACGCGCGCGCTCCACCTTGGCGGGCAAGGGGTCACACGCCCACACTCCGCCGGACTCCGCCACGACTCCGCCACTTGGGAGGGAAAAAGGCGTTTCAGCGGTGTCGTGTCTGCGGATCTTTGCCCCCATAGCAGCGGTTTTAATATATACTACCATATTAAACCCGGACAGCCCAGACGGCCCCCTTCTGCGCTAGGAGCAGGGGAAAGGGGCGGGCACGACGTTAAACAGCAAACAGCACACCCGCACGAACCTACCCAACCAACAAATCACCCAACCACCAACCCAAACCAAAACACGCCCGCCCAAAAATTACGAGTCAACCATCTTCACACGCACGCGCCCGAACAACCAAGCCAACAGCCCAGCCCAGCCACAACAACCACCCAACCAACCAACCAACCAACCAACCAACCAACCAACCAACCAACCAACCAACCAACCAACCAACCAACCAACCAAGCGACCAAGCAAGAAACCAACCGACCCACCACCAGCCAACCCAACCCACCCACCCACCCACCAACCAACCAACCAACCAACCAACCAACCAACCAACCAACCAACCAACCAGCCAGCCAGCCAGCCAGCCAGCAACCAAACAACCAAACAACCAAACAACCACGACCAATGACCAACCAACCAACCACCCAACCAACCAACCAACCAACCAACCAGCCAACCAGTTCGAAAAACGGGCAACCCGACAACCGACCAACTTGACCTGTAAAACGATCAGCACGGTTTTCCGAGCTTGCTGCAAAGCGACTGGCTGGCCAAGTGGCACATCACACGCCCGCCCGACCTTGCAAACACGCGTCTTTTTCCGCACGCAGGTGTTTGCTTGCGACGCACGTGAGACACTCGGCGCCCGCTGTTCACGGACCTTGTTTGAGGAGTCCCAATTTCAAGGCCGCACCTTCATCGTTAGAATCTTGATCACTGCTTCAAAACATAAGGGAACATGCATCAAAAGACAAAAGGTTCTTTTTCTTTATGAGGAGTTGCTTGGAAGTCCAGGCTCGGGGGTGCAGGAGGAAAGACAATGCGTGTCCTTTCCCTGTGCCTGCACCCCCGTGCAAGCCTGCTCAAATGCCCCCCCAGGTTAACAACCTTTCACAGGGTGTGTTACCCTTGGGGTGTGAAATACAAAAGGGTGACATTGAAATGCAACAAGATGCAACGCGTGCAACTTGTAGGTGATGATGAGGCAAGCGTCCTCAATCATCTGACCAATTCGAGGTCTTACGCCTGGTCAGACCCGCCTACTTCCTGGTAGCAAAAGACCGAGAGGTCGCGACTTGTTTTGGGGGAGAGGGCGAAGGGCAAACATCGCAGGGTCTGCCTCATGGAGAGGGCGAGGGGGAGCTGCGCGTCCAATGTGATGGGCGCCATGCCCGGTGGCCTCATCAAGGTCCTCCAGGCCCGAACGCAGATCGTGAGCCGCGCCATCCGCTGACTGCTGAAGAGCCGACATGGAAAGGACGCCGTTTGCAGCATGCCAAGTGGGCCAGAGCTGGGCGGGGCCACTACCACCGTGATCGCCTTGGCGCGCGTCAGGGACACACTGAAGCGAGCCTCAGCTTCCGCACCAAAGTACAAGAGCCTGGTGTCTGATGACAATTGACACCGTGCCAGTCATGCCCGTGCGTTTGTGACCAAGGCGCTGAAGAACCTCTTCTCTAACGGGGTCATTGCCAGAAGCACCACGCGTCTGGCGGTCGTCACCAATGTGGACAGTCAGGGCAGAGCGGGGCAGGCTGCCGCGCGTGCGAGGTCATCCTGACGAAGAAGCACAACTCCGGTGGGTCTGGCGCTGGGGGGGGGGCGGGTTTTTTGGGCAGTGCCGAGCGGGCACTTAGGTAACGTGCCGAGCGGGCACTTAGGTAACGCGCCGAGCGGGCGCCCGGTGCCGAGTGGGCACCGTAGCAGGCACCCGGTGCCGAGCGGGCACTGTAAAAACCCAGTGCCGAGCGGACACTTAGGTAACGTGCCGAGCGGGCACTTAGGTAACGTGCCGAGCGGGCACCGTAGGAGTGCCGAGCAGGCACCCGGTGCCGAGCGGGCGCCGTAGGAGTGAGCAGGCACAGCGCCAAGCAGGCGACGTTGTGGCGTGGGGCCACTGTGAAAGTGGCGGCCACTGTACAAGCGGTTGAGCGTGCGCTTTAGCGCGGGTTCGCCCAACGACTCTTAGCACGGGTTCGCCCAAGCTCGTTTGACACTGGCTCGCCCAACGACTCTTAGTACGGGTTCGCCCAACGACTCTTACCCTGGGCATCGGGTATTGATTCTAATCAATATTCTCAAACTCGTATTGATATTGATTTTTTTCCAGTTGCAAATTATTGATTTGAAAGCCTCTTAGATCAATATACATCCGACCTTTAAAATCAATATATTTGAGCAGCTTTTCTCAAGCCAAAATCAAAGCAGGGTCTTTGGCCAGCTGCTCCTGTTTTGTCAACAGGGGAGCAGCAAACAGGTTGCACTTTAAGTGTCAAAAGCTGCTGGTCAAAATGAGCTCTACCTTTTTTGTCAAAAGGCTTAAGCTTTAAACAATTTCTCATTTCTTTTGTCAAGAAATGGTTGAAGAGGTACCCCCTTGTCAAGGGCAACTTTGTCAAGATACGGTTGAAGAGGCAAAGCCTTTTGTCAAGGGCAACTAGCAGCCATCATCTTCCATCACAAAGCCAAAGCCAGGCTTGGTCAGCTGAAGGTGTACTAGGATTTTGTACTTTTCCATAATCTTGGCAGGCAGTCTTGTAGAGCCCACTCCAAAGCTGCAGCTGTGGGCAAGCTGGGATATTTGCCCAACAAAACCTTCAGCCTTGAAGTTGTGGTGGGCCCTGTAGTTGAGATATCTTGTGTTTTTGAACAAGTGCCTGCAAGAATGAAATTTGTGAACTATATGAAACAGCTTTCTGCCTTTTGCCAAGGCCCAATCATGGAGGTCTTGGTAGCAATCAAAAAACCTTTTGGCAAGGCGATCAACCATTTGTACTCAGAGGCAGTGGGGAAGGCACCAATGTTGTCCATGTGGCCAATCAACTGGTTTAATGCACCAATGCACTCCAGCATTGTGCTATGAATAGGGTCTTCTTCAGGATCAAGAACTTCAGCCAGCAAGGCTTCCAAGCATGGCAAGAGCCACTTGGTTTCTGCAGCCTTTGCTTCCAAACATGGAGGCCTTTTGTGGGGCTTTGCGGTATC